GCGTGTGCTCGACCGGCTGGCGCGCGGCCGGGGACGCGCATGGTGTGCGGCCTGAGCGCTCCGTTTCTACCCCCTGGTGACAGTATGCAGAGTCAGCCTGAATAGATGGTTCGCGTTGGCAACGCGAAGGACTCGACCCTCGACGACACGTGTGAGTGTGTGTGTGTTATTTCGACAGGCAGGCATCGCGTCCACGTTCCGCCTCGGCCGGCTGTTCCGACAGCTGTACGGCGACTTCCTCGGGGACCTGTACTACCAGACCGACGTGAACGCCACGTCCACGGACATCCCCCGCACCAAGCTCAGCCTGCAGGCCTTCATGGCGGGTCTGTTCCCGGCCAAGGGCTCCGAGCAGTGGGACGCGCCGGGCAGCCTGGGCGCGTCCTGGCAGCCCTTCGTGTACCACTACATGCCCAAGCACCTGGACGACGTAAGCAAGCGGCCCCTCCCCGCCCACGACCTGACCTGACGCCCCCGAACAACCTTGCCCAGCACGACCGCCTCCCTTTTGCAGTACTTGTACATGAACGGCGTCGAGTGCCCGCGCTACGCCAAGGAGTTCGCCCAGGCGGAGCGCAGCGACAGGGTGCGCCAGATCCTGGGCAGCGACCCGGCCATGGTGGCCGAGCTCACGGAAAAGGCGGGCATCGGCAACAGCCTGGCGCAGATCTCCAGGTTCTACTGTACCATCAGCATCGAGGTGAGTCCCCGGTCGGCCCCCGCCCGCCCCAGTCAGACTTCCCTGTCGATTCGCTCCGCGCCGAGCCGCCGCGGCATTGTGTGCGGCTCGACACGCTAATCACGGCCCTGATAAAGCGGGGCGTCTCACACACCCGCGGGCACACGCTCCCGTTCGGAATAAAAACTATCGCGGCCAGGTAGTTATTCAATTAATTATATCTTCGCTTGGGCACCCGGTCAGAGGGAGCGGGGTGCGGGGCGGGGGGAGGGGTCAGGGAACGAGAAGACGCGGCGAGCGCGAAGCCGCGGCAGGAGGAGGAGGCTCTCCCGCTGCTCCCGTGCAGAGGACGGACAGGGGCAGGTGAACACGACACCGACCAACCGTTGTTGTTGTATAATTTCCCGAACACTTTCCCACCCATTTCCGCGCGCAGCTCGTCTTTGACGCGGCGCCCGACACGAGCAGGCTATGAAGGCGGGCTGGCGGCGGGCGCTGCAGAGGCCGCACGCGCTCCACGAGCCGCCGGCCGCTCGACCCGTTTGACCCGTCGCGCGGTCCGCGGCCGGATGGACCGGATCCGTCCAGTGATGACCGGAGGCACCCCCGGCCCCGGCCCCGGCCCCGGCCCCGGCCCCGGCCCCGGCCA